TTGGGGGGGGGGGGGGGGGGAAGACCAGCTATCTGGTAGAAGTCTAGGAGAGAAAGGCAAAAGAATCAAGAGGATGTTAAGATGAGATTCAGTCTTACAGATAGAGAGAGGGAATTCAGAAGTGAGACAGAGTGGAAGACAGGATGGAGGTGTTATTAGAAGGAGATTGCGGTGGGTGTGTGAGTGGACAGCAGGAGGTTATCTTTTATTAAGAGGTACTCATTGTACCTCCGTGCAATGCTTCGAATGACAGTACTCCGAAGGCTTCATAAGATTGTGTCGCCGTTGTCAATTTCTCATCTTTCCGATTTCACACTGTTACAACTTCATTTACAAAAATGAGATTTTTAAAAAAATCATAAGTAGCCTCAATGGTCAAATAAAATTACAGAGAATTGCTTCCCTTGAAGTAAAACGTATATAAAACGTTACTGATTCGCATTTCATAAAATTCATGTCACAAGAGAACCCAGTTGAGATTCTAGATACCGTTATATTGTCATGTTATAAGTATTTGTAAAATAAACAGTGGTGATATATAATAAATATATCTGAATAATGATAGATCGTTGGTTTATTTACCCAATAACATATATAATTTACATGGCCCATAACACCGTCCTGTAGTCTTTGATAGCTAACAGTCTGTGGCTCAACTAGAAAAGTAGGGCACATGGACTACAGTGAAATGGGAGCCTCTCCCCGGAAATTTTTTTAACATACGCAATTTTTCTGGAGGTGGAGCCCCCTAACAGTGGCGGCCGAAAACTTAACTTACAATGAGTTTAGTGTCTCGGTCAATCACAAGAGATAAGGCGAAATAGCAAAAGTTGTCACTTTTTAACCGTCATGAGTGTCAGACGTGGATGTTGACATATTCAATGATATCAACTAAAATTCAATGAACGAACATTGAAAGTGAATGTTCCAATATTTACTGTAGCAGGGTGTGATCTGGAATCTGATACACGACTCTTTACGAGATATTAGATCCATATCTGTATTTACAACCACCTATATATGGCCAGATATTCAACAGTTAAACAAATACATTGTTGAATTCATATTAAATGCATTAG